CCACTGACCGAACTGATTTGTGTAATAAAATCAATTACAGTGGAAGTTTACAATTCTATAAGTAGAATATCATTAAAGCTTACCTGGTTTACCTTATTTTCACAGGGCTCTATCGCTCTATCCAGCCCATAATCAAGTGTGTCTGCCATTCCAGGCTATAATATAGAAACAAAACAAAATGTAACAAAGGTGTATTTATGCCATTTTTTAACATTAATCTGTATACAGGCAGTCCTTGACTCACAATCCTTTATTTAGTATCTGTTCGACATTACAATAGCATTGAAAAAGTGACATGTCCATTTTTACCCCATCTGACCTTTGCAGCATCCCATAATCATGTGATCAAAATTGAGACGCTTGGCACTGGCATTTATTTATGACGGTTGCAGTGTCCCGGGGTCATGTGATCACCTTTTGCAACCTTTTGACAAGCAAAGTCAGTGGGGAAGTCAGATTCACTTAACAACCGTGTTAGTAACTTAACAACTATAGTGATTAATTTAATAACTGTGGCAAGAAAGGTGAAAAAATGGGGCAAAACTCAGGTGCAGTGTCCTGGCCTAAAACTCACTTAACTGTCTCGCTTAGCAACAAAAATTTGGGGCTCAATTATGGTCATATATTGAGGACTACTTGTAAAATAAATAAATATAGCCACAGTAATACACAGTAATAAATGGGCCATATCCCATTGCTGCATTTGGTAACTCGAATAAACAGGAGCATTTTTCTACACAGTCGAGCAAAATCTGGGCAAGGGAAGTTGACTCATAAGAGAGGAGGGGGGAAAAAAGCATTACCCACTGGAGAAAGGAACACTTTGACATAATAAACAGATTGGTACTGTTATCACATCTGCTTTGAGCAGAGTTGAGTTTGGATCTGCTATCTGATGTCTGCTGAAGTTGGGCCATCAATAATTAAACCTCTGCCGGTGCTATCTTAAAAGGAGAGGGGAGGAGGGGGGGAGAAACAGCTCAAGAAAGAAAAAGATCCAAAAGGAAGCCTGACATGATCAAAGGGGTTTCGGCAAGAAAGATGAACTGGGACCAAAGGGGCCGTTACAGTGTGTAGAACTTATCTACAGATGGTACTTCCCCCCCCCCCCTCTCCAAGTCAAGCTCCAATTATAGCTTGACATTTGCTGGAGGCTTCTACTTTTCTGTCTGTTAACTGCTGGGCTCTCCGTGGCCATTTACACTGTGTGCACAATTAAAAGTGGATCTTTGATTATGATTTGGGATTAGGGAATGTAGCTCTTTGGCAAGCGTCGGAGTCCTACGGCCTGCTGTGATCAGTGTAGCAACTGCTCAGGGAAACAACCCTCAGCATCTGCCAGAAGCGTCTCCCAAAGACCAGAAACCCGTGCTGTTGTTTTGGGTGCCCAGCTTGATGTCTTTTTCCAGCATGGAAAAGTTGCCAAAAGCTCCCTGCGGAGCAGCTCAAGGCATGGAAGATGAATGAGGGGAAATTAGATAATAAGGAGGCAGAAATTCCACAAACCTGTATTTAATTTTGGAGCTTTGGGCAATAACTTCAGTTGGTTTTGAGTGAAATTACAATCATAACCCTGTAGCAATAGGACTCAAAGTACAGGAGCTTTGTTCATGGAAATCAAATATAAACAATGCAGACTTTTTCACAATGCAAATCAGAGCATGTAGGGGTAACCCATGGCTGCTTCCTTGGCCAACTTGTGTCCTGTCTCAGGGAGAAAAAGATATCTAAGCTTCCTTGTCTTGTTATTGTCCATTTTTTACTCCAGCAACAGTTCTAAATACCATTCTCGCATGAGTCGTGAGAAATTAAAAGCTCATAAATGTAAAGCCTCAATCCCCACCACAAATTTATTATTTACCATTATGTACTAATGTATGAATAAAACCCTCAATTACAGATAGTCCTTGACCTATGACAATTGGCCCCAAAATTTCCATTGCTAAGCAAGGCATTAAGTGAGTTTTACACCCTTTTACGACCTTTCTTGCCATCGATGTTAAATGAATCACTGTAGCTATAAAGTCAGTAAACGGTGGTTAAGTGAATCTGGCTTCCCCATTGACTTTGCTTGTCATAAAGTCGCAAATGAGGATCACATGACCTTGGGACACAACAAGCGTCATAAATACATGCCAGTTGCCAAGCATCTGAATTTTGAACACATGACCATGGGGATGCCTCAATGATCATAAGTGGGGAAAATAAGTCATAAGTCTTTTTTTTTTCAGGGCTGTTTAGTGAGCAGTCACTCAAGAAATGGTTTTAAGTTGAGGACTACCTGTACCTAGGATTTTGGGCTACCCATTGGCTAAAAGTTATAAAATACAATATCATATATTAAACTCCATTGGGTTACTAATACAACAGAATTTAAGATGGCAAGTCAATGTAGGAATATAGGCCGATGATTTGGAAACCTAAAAAGACCATTCCTAGTGGAGGTTATCTACTGGATTTGATTCACTACTCGGGCTTTGTAATCTTACAATCATAGGTCCTATGTAGGGAGGAAAGGAACTACTTTCCATGCTTCTTTGATGCCAAGCGACTAAGGGACACCCTCAAAATACTTGATGAAGAACTTTCATGGGAGATTTAAAGACACTAAACATCACATGGGAAAATGCTGAAATATTCACCCAAGTATTTGCCCAAGATACTGTGCTGCTGTTTAGATCATCACTTTAACTTTGGATTCAACCTGTCTTGACAATCAATTACTCATGAGAGAAAGTAATTCTGATTTTCAAACTCATTTTAACCCAAAAGAATGAAGTGTCCCATTGAGTGAAATCAAGAAGGGAATATGTTTAGCGGCAAGACATTCAACATGCCTGTAGTTTTGCTTCCAGTTATTTACAGTACATTCTAATCATCTTGTGTTATAGCACAAACACATTTACTTAAAAAGTAAGTCTACTCTTGCTTACAGGAGCCCGTTGCACCAGCCAGTAGGCTTTCTCTTGATAATCCACAGTATACCGGTCTTCTTTCGTTCGTTCCTTTCCTGCGCTGCAAAATCCAAGAAACGTTTTTTAAAAAATAAATCAAAACAGGAGATTATAATTGTTCCTTGGGACTATTTATACATTCTAACAGGAAATAACATAAAAAACATGGCATGGAATTTTCTTGCAGATCTTTAATACACTTGATGGAGAAAAATCTGCCACTTCATTGTATAAATATTCCCTTTTTTTTTAAATTAAGAGATCATTCTTTGAATATTTCTCTCTAAACAGTAGAGACAGTCCATCCTTTAGTGCAGTGTTTTTCAACCACTGTGCCGCGGCACACTAGTGTGCCGTGACATAGTGTAAGGTGTGCCGTGGGAGAATTACTTTATGTATGGTCAATATAGGCACAGAGTTAAAAAAATTTAACATTTTCTAATGGTGGTGTGCCTCGTGATTTTTTTCATGAAAAAAGTGTGCCTTTGCACAAAAAAGGTTNGCAGAGCCCTCTCTGTGGGCCTGTGCACCGTCACCAGGAAAAAATTTTAAAGCATCAAATGTTAATAAAGCAGCTGAATTGAAGTAAATCCAACTCTCATTTCAGTTGATTTCCATTTCCCAGGTTTAAATATCTAGTAATGTATAAGGAGACCTGAGTAAGATGAGATTCACATTAAAATGACAGCCCATTGGTCTTCTATAGGACAAACAATTCAGTACTTCATGGAGAACAAAGGTCATATACATAGGAGAAAAACAAACTACAGAGAGAAAAAACAAAAGACAGAAGGGAAATGGTTAATTAACTATTTCACACATAATTTTTATATATTCATGTTTATGTACTAATTTTTTTCAAGAAAAATAAAAAGTACAAACATTCAGTGCTTACTGAATTAGTTATATTTCTTATTATAAACAGCTATTTTTCTCTTTTTTCTACCATTTTTTATTGCATTACTGTATTAGTTATTTATTTTTCATTTAAAATTAGTCTAAATGCAATCACTGATTTCTGTTATGCCTTACATACTTAGATCTGACTGTTGAGCCTAATAAAACTTCCAATGACCAAAACTGAATCTAGAAATTTACAAACTTTTTGCAGCTTTTTCAGTCACTGTACAGTATTGACATTCTTAAAAAAAGGGATCTCCCCTACTAAGGGAAGAGCAGAGATTTTGAAAGGACCAAAATCAATGAGGAGGGGAAGAGGAGTTAGGAGGAGTTGAAAGGAATGTGTGGTGAAAACTATGCCACTTGTATGTCTTGATGCATCCAGGGTTAGGATCCAGTGTACCTTGCCTTGGTGACCTTTTTCCTTTCAAGATCCTTGGGTTGATAGATCCTGCTTCTCTTTTCAAGCAAGGTCTATCGATCACCTCCTTTTATAGGTAAAGGTACAGGGTCCCATCACAAATATGCTAGTCATTCCTGACTCTTGGGGGCGGTGCTCATCTCCGTTTAAAAGCCGAGGAGCCAGAGCTGTACAAAGAGGTCTTCATGGTCATGTGGCTGGCATGACTAAACACCAAAGGCACACGGAACACTGTTACCTGCCCACCAAAGGTGGTTCCTATTTTTCTACTTGCATTTTTACATGCTTTTTTTTAAACTGCTAGGTTGGCAGAAGTTGGGACAAGTAATGGGAGCTCACTCCGTTAGGTGGTGCTAGGGATTTGAACCACCAAACTGCCGACCTTCTGATCGACAAGCTCAGCATCTTAGCCACTGAGCCACCATGACCCATGCACCTCCTCTAATAGGGAAAAGCTAAGTCCTAAACTCTTGTATTTATGTCTTCTCGTCAGTCTCCATGGCAACAAATCCTATTTGCCTCTATGATTCCCTGCCTCTGAGAGCTGCAGTAGTCGAGAGCTTGATTCACAAGTGAGCTCTGTTAGCCTTGCAAAGCATCACATGAAAACAATGCAAGGACTGTCTTGAGGGGGTCTTCAGTTGGATGCAAACCAAGCATCATCCAAGCCTCACCTTCCACAAGACTTCCACTGACCTATTAATATCTCTTCAGCTGACAATATTTTCTATCTTGCTCATTCCTCCATTCTCTGTAAAAAGCTCCATGATGGGAATGGCATAGCCTGCCCAACAGTATTATTACAAATCATATATATATCTAAAATTAGGTACAAGCTTTGAAGGACTTCATTCTCACAGAGCTCTGGATGCAGTCGAGATCAAACTAATAGGATTTCTGTTTCTTTAAAATCTGTTGTGCCTCATGAACGCATCCCACAGTGAAAAGTGAAGGAAGGAAAAAAGCAAGAGAGAGAGATAGAAAGAAAGAAAAGCTTCTTGCAGAGAAAAAAAATCTCTTTTTTTCCAGCGAAAAAATATGTTTTATTTACATCAGCCTTTATTGACATCTGCGTGCAAGATTGGCTTACTGTTCCAAAATGAAGGTGATCTATAATGAGATCTCTCATCTATTTACATTTTGATTTTTGACAGTCATGGGAAAGATTGCAATCCACCTTGAGTTCCGGTGGATGGCCAGTTATTTTTAATAAAGGTATAAAAGGTATAAATGAAATAAAAATGTTTCATTTGATATGCTTGACCCACAGTAGCATTTGAAAAAGAAATTAATTAGTCTTTCTGATGAAGATTGATTCCTGTCATTTCTAAGGATTTGTTTAAAAACAAAAAGGCCACCACTCATTCCATGAACATATAAGAATGTTCAGTAACATTATGCCAGAGGTGGGGTTCAGCAGGTTCTGACCAGTTCTGGAGAACCGGTAGCGGAAAGTTTGAGTAGTTTGGAGAACCGATAAATACCACCTCTGACTGGCCCCTCCCCCATCTATTCTCTACCTACCGAGTCCCAGCTGATCAGGAGAGAATGGGAATTTTGCAGTAACTTTCCCCTGGAGTGGAGAGGGAATGGAGATGTTACAGTATCCTTCCCCTG